TCTACACCAACATCGACAAGTTTGTTTTCGCGTCACCAGAGATTAAAGTTCTCGTATGCTTCGTAAGCAACGTGGGCGTTCGGGCTGACCCAGACAAGGTCAAGGCCATAGCAGCATGGCCGACGCCCCGATCCCAGAAGGATCTTCGAAAGTGGTTGGGCCTGGCCAACTACCTTCACAGGTACAGCGCAGGGTACGCAGGCTTCGCTAAGCCCTTGTCGAGCCTCCTTGAGAAGGATGTTGACTGGCGCTGGGAGCAAGAGTACCAGGATGCTTTTGACAGCATCAAGGCCAGTCTCCTAGAGGCCCCTGTCCTGGTCCTGCCGGACGAGACGAAGCCGTTTAGCGTCGTCTGCGATGCCTCCGATTACGCCATCGGATGTGCATTGCTGCAGGCCGACACGGCTGGACACGAGCGGGTCATCTCGTTCCAGTCCAGGCAGCTCAAAGCCGCCGAGCGGAACTACCCTGTCCACGACAAGGAACTTCTGGCAATGAAATATGCCCTTGTGAAGTTTCGTGCTCACCTTCTGGGCTCTAGGCCCTTTGTGATCTACACAGACCACGCGTCCTTGAGAACGGCGACTAACTCGCCTCACCTCTCCCAAAGGATGGCGAGGTGGCTGCCCTTCTTTGCGGAATACAACTTCCGCGTCGAATACAAGCCGGGCAAGCTCAACGTGCTTGCAGACGCCCTCTCTCGGCGTCCTGGCTATGAGTTGGCCCACATCACGCGGGTGATAACGGATCTATACGATCGGATACGCATGGCGTATCGGGACGATGAGGCTGTCGCGCCTATCGTCAAGTTCCTTATGGTAGAAACGAGCGCGAAGTCCGACTGGCTCTCGTTGCGACAGCGCTCACGGCTCCAGCGATATGAGCTGAAGGATGGACTCCTCTATTACCGGGTGGGGCCCACGGATCCTCCACAGGTGGTCGTACCCAACGACGAGGATCTGAAGTTCGATATCCTCGCGGAGGCGCACGACGCGCCCTCCAGCGGCCACTTGGGCCGCGAGAAGACCTTTCTGTCGGTCTCTTAGTCCTTTTGGTGGACCCACCTGTACAAGTGGGTCGCCCGGTACGTCAAGACATGTGAAACATGTCAGCGGGTTACCCGCAGGGCACTCTTCGGCTCCACTACAGAGCCTGCCCGTACCGGCTGACTGTTGGAAGTCGATGAGTCTCGACTTCATCTTTGGGCTTCCCGCCGACGGACACGGCAACACCAGAATTTTGGTGTTCGTGTGTCGGCTGAGCAAGATGGTACATCTTGCTCCAGTTCCCGTCACTGTTACGGGCGAACAAACCGCAAGGTTGTGCGTCGATGGCGTGTTCCGCTATCACGGTCTCCCGGAGACGATTGTCTCGGACCGAGACCCGCGGTTCACTGCTGCGTTTTGGAAAACGCTGTTCCCTTTACTGGGAACTCGTCTGCACATGTCCACTGCGGACCATCCGCAGACAGACGGTCAGACAGAGCGCGTCAATCGAGTGCTCGAGGACACTCTGCGCAGTGTGTGCGCGGCAGCACCACGTACGTGGCCGACGCAGCTTCCAGTTGTTGAGTTTGCGCTCAGCAACGCGGTGCACGCCGTCACGGGGTTCACGCCGTTCTACTTGAACGGCTTCCGTCACCCCAGAGTGCCTCTCACTCCTCGAGAAGACACTGACTCCTCTATTCTAAGTGGGGGAGAGGCTCGGAAGGCCCTTTCCTCCTAGGTATCGGATGTGAGACCAGTTTCGCTGCGGAAACAGGTGGAATCCTTTATGGATACCAAGCTGAGCGTTGTCAGCAGGGTCCGCGATGCCATGGCAGCGGCCCAAGATAAACAAAAGGAGTACTTAGACAAACATGGAAGAGGAAGCTTAAGTATATTTAAGGTGAGGGACTTAGTGTTGCTAGACACGAGGAACCCACCTCTTGACACTGTCAGCTCTGTCGGCAGCAACAAGCTGAAGCACCGCTTCATCGGACAATTTGCAGTCCTGGCCAGACATGGTGCGTCGTACACCATCGACCTGCCAAAGTCAATGACGACGCACCCGACGTTCTATGTTGGACGTCTTATGCGGTACTTTGACCCGCAGGGGGTTGCTGACTCGCAGACCTCCCCCCCTGACCCAGCTCTTCGAAGCAAGGGCCGGTCACAGACGTCGACGAGGGCGTCGGAGCAGGCACCCAAGCCTCGGTCGGAGCGGCAAGGCTGCGGTCAAGACCATACGCCGGAGGGGTCCCGTACGGACGGACCCCGGCGCCATACGCCGAGTACGCTGAGTACGCCGGGTACGTACCATACGCGTACGTCTGGGAGTGTGCCGCAGGCGGCTCCGGACGTGGCAACAGAGCCTCGATCCGTCGGATCGTACGAAAGGCCGTCGATTTACCCGCAGGTGCAGGCTCGCGACCTCTCTCTCCAGCGCTGGCGGCCCGCAAGGCGAGCGAGCTCGCCCTGATTCCCGGCCTGGGCGGCAGCATCACCGCCAGTCCCAAGGCCAAGTGCAATCTCAAGCATGAGGACACGTTGACGGAGGCGGTCAACCTCAGGGCCCTGTATCGGACCCGCAGTCGGAGCACTCGGACGAGAGTGGCTTTCGGGAGGCGCCGAGTACTCGTACTCGTACGAGGGCACCTCCGCCCCTGCTTGACCGGAATGGAGAAGTCCACTTCCACGTGGAGCGGATCCTCCAGGAGCAACGGCGTCGCGGTAAGCGACAGCTCCTCGTGAAGTGGAGGGGTTATGCCCACTCCGAGAACTCGTGGGAGCCGATTGAACGGCTCGTGATTGACTGTTCGAAGGCTGTCGCAATCTGGGAACAGAAGCGGCGGCAGCTTCATAAGTAGTCCAGGGCTTCTTGCCCGAACGGGGTACGGGCGATGAATACATTCCGTACCCACGCTCATCGTGAGCGCTAGAAGCCGCGCGCTTCAGGATGTCCCTTGGCAGCATGCGCTTGCTGATCAAGTGGGCAAACCTCACACGAAGATCACGCTGGTCCAGGATGCGGGACAGCAGCTGATCTTCATGGAGTTCCCGTAACTCCGTGGGTGAGTACTTAAGAGACTCCACCCATGCCCAGAACATGTCCTCACAAGAACTCCACGTGGGACAGTTCTCGGGCATAACCCAGGGGTATCCCCAAAGAGGATAGAGACCACCCCGGGTCTCGGGCTTCTTACGACAAGTCGTGAAGTCCTTAAGAGGGATGCGGTGTGGCGCAAGAAGCACACACCGAGCAGCCTCCAAGTTGCCAACGAACAGCTGTTCTTTCTGAACAAGGGCACGTTCGTAGATGCCCCTAGAAGTGTGGCCGCCCACAAGGCCACGAGGAGCGACAAGAAGCTCTAGGAAGAGGTCAGCCCCAGAGCTCTCCTCGGGAGGCCAATACCCTCTTGAGTTGATGGCAGATCCCTGGCTGACGGCTGCCACCACCGAACCCCCACGCACACGCTGGGCAGCTTGATATTCCTCCTGCTGCTGGTCGAGGTCATTTGAGACCTCCCGGGGCTCAGAAATAGCACCCTCCTCCTCCGCTTCTTCCTCCTTCTCCTCCTCTTCATCCGAGGAGTCGAAGATACTCTGATAGGAGTGTTGAGTCTCCTTCTTCTCGCGGAGTGGAGACTTAGAGGCAGTACGCTTCTTTGAGGGCTTGGCGCCTTCGGCTTTAGAGGCCTTAGCACGCGCAAGACCCTCGGCAAGCGAGAGACGTTTGCGAGGATTCTCTTCCTCATCGCCACCGGCTTTGGGAGTGCCCTTAGCCTTGACGGCCGGAATCTCAGAGCGCACAGACGCTCTGGGACTGTGATCATCTTGATCACTAGCGAGCGACTGCACGCTGTCATCCTTGTGCTCGCTGGGCACTGGGCTGTGCCCTCCCACAGAGCCCGCAGGAGCATCGTGCGTGCTCTCGGACTCGGCTTCGTCCTCACTGCCAGAGTTGAGCTCACGTTCCACGAACCGAGGGCTCGGACGATTGTCTGAGGCTGAGGGCGACGGACTGCGGCGCTTGCTTGCTCGCTTGCCCACAGCCGCGTTACCAGAGGAACCGATCGCCTCGGAGGCCACCTGAGTAGCCTCCTTAAGTGCAGAGCCTTTGCCGTGAGGCTTAGTGCTCTTGGCTTGCGCCTTACCGGCCGCAGCCTTGGAGCGTGTCTTGGCACCGCTCTTTGCTGTGCCACGAGGCATGGTACCGGTCGAATTGGAGACCTAGACGAAGAGCGCAAAGGTTGCTGCTCGAGGCTCTAACTGTGAAGTGAGCCTCAGCCGCGCTCGCGCGGCCAAGTCGATGGTTTTCGACTTTAAGAATGAGAGTTTGTGACGAACACCTCTTTATTCTGATTGGTCGGTAAACCGAACCTAAGTGGGGGAGGATGTAACGGGGTACGTATCCCTAAGTGTACCCTGGTTACATGAAGTGTAACACTTCACACTTTAGGAGTATGACACGTCATACTCCGGGATATGTGGTACAAAGTACCATTGGTCAACGACATTGCATTTCTATCGGTGACTTATAGTTTGTATTAAACCCAAACTTAATCTACCTATAAACATACTCAGTTTACAATCTACCTTATTTAGGTCACTTGCTCTCTTTTATGGACCTGTGAACTGCCTTTCACTGAGAGTTTGTATACTCTCGGAAGATAACTTCCTAAGCGCAAGGTGCTGTGTGACCCCGTCACAAACGGGGTGGTGGCCTGCTGGGGGGATGTTTCGGCAGTGCTGGGCGGTGCCATTGGTCGTGGCGCACACTCAGACTGCGAGCAGGGAGGATTGTTTGGTCGACACTAAGATCTGAAAGTGCTTCACTTCTGCTTGCACTAGAACCTTTTAGACACTTCAAAACTGTTTAAAAGATTTTAGATACTTTTAGACGTTTTCTATTTCTTGATAATACCAAAGTTCAACATCAAAACTTCGCAGCTACCGCTGGACGACGACGAATCTGACAGACAGAAGCAGGCTGAGAAGGATGACGACGAGCTGCAGGAAATGATGGAATCGCTCTCGTGGTCGCAGGGGGCCGCGCGATCGCCTCACAGGAAGACCCGACGCAGGGCACGCAACGACCGCAGCAATGAGCTTGAGTTCTTGCGCAACAAAGTGCGCCAGATGGAGGAGGAACTACGTGTTCTGCACTTGCAGCGCCTTAACAACTTGGTTCCTGCGACTCTCCCGTCATCCCCCGCTGTGACTTTGGACTTCTCCAGCCAAATGTTTGGCTTTCCTATGTCATCACCCGCAGCACCTCCTATCTGGGACATAGCTGCTCGCCATCAGCGCCGGAGTGAGAGAGCTGCAAGTGAAAATACCCGGTTGCACATGGTGCTAGACACACAGGTTAGTCTTGCTCGAAGGTTGAAGTCTCAGCTGGGCAAGCGCATTCGTGGCCAGTTGGCGAGACAAGCGCTGCCCTTTAGTATATTCAGTGGCATGACAGCACAGAGTCGTGGTCCGAGTTTTGTGTTGGAGACAGAGACAGCAGAGTCACTGCGATACGGATTGAACACGGCCTTAGAAGAGTTGGATGCTGTGTTTGACACAAACGGTTTGGGTCGATTGGAAACTCCGAGCACCGAAGCGAGAATACGAGAGGCGGCGAGCGGCATGTACTTGGATATCTACGTCGCTACGTTGCTACCCTTCGACTTCATGACAACTGCCACTGCGGTATGGAATCACTACCGAGGTATAGGACGCCGTCGTGGGAGCCTTAATCAGAATTCGACACTGGTATGGTGAGGCTAGATGCACTTTGTTTGGAGAATTCATACTTCTAACCCCAAAGCCTACGTTTGTTATTACGTCTTGCGTTACTACGTAGGATGACGAATCTGATACCGTCATAGAAGAAGTTGCAGTGAAGTTTACAGGGAAGTCCACAAATGCTGATTTCCGCGTGAAGCAGGCAATTCAGCGGCATATGGAGCCAGATCGGCAAGTCGTGGTGTGGGTCTCCAAGGCGGAGGCGGTGGAACAGCAAATGTCGGCGTACTCCAAGTTTGCGCTCGTCGACAAAGGTTACGTCGTCGTCAAGCGACCCGCGTTGCTCGAGCAAGGCCAAACCCCGTCCACGCTGCTACAAATATGCTGCCTCATATCGCAACAGATGACGCGAGGCTGCGTACTGGATGTAAAGTCGGCCGGGGTGTATACTGAGTTTGTGCTGAGCGTCATGGTGGCTAGCATTAGCGCTACCCGGGGGCTAATCGAGAACATATTGCCGAAGGAGGCACGGCAACTTTTCAACATCGAGACAAAGAGAACACTGTCGACGCGAATGAATGTCTTCCGGATGAGCTATGTTGGCCACGGCGTGAAAGCAATTAAAATATCGTGGAACATTCCATGGCCAAATGCACATCAAAAATCAACAATAATGTCATTTTATTGTACACGTTTGCAATACATACTTATGGCGGAGGGGCCCCCTTGAGGGCCTGGTCCAGCAGCATATTCTCAATCCTCTCCTGACTGACGGTGGTGTTTGCGACAATGACATTCAGCACGAACTCAGTGAAAGCACCAACGGACGTGGCATCACCGATACAGCTCTCGGCTTTCTGAGGAACGACGAGACTGCACATCTGCAAAACGGTGAACCCGGCCTTCAGCAGCGCTGGCGATGTCGGCTGCTTAATGACAGCGTACCCTTTCTCCGCAAAGCCGAGCCCCGCAAATGGCCGAGTCTTTCCCTCGTCTAGGGAGTGTACACTCGTGACCCACACCACAACCTGGCGCTCAGCCTCGTTGTAACGACGCAGCACCTGCTTCACCCGGAAGTCTGCTCGCGTAGATTTTCCCAAAAACTCCATCTTAAAATCCTCCATCACCGTGTCGTCTTTGGTGTCAAGCTTTTTGACAGCCTTTTCATACAAGTTACCGCGGTGCTTCTCTGTGCTATTAAAGTGGCTCCACACGGTCGCACCTACTGTATCTTGGCTAAACGGTAGCAGCTTGGTGCTGCTGATGTCGAGGTACATGCCGTTGGCGCCTTCACGCATGCGAGCGTCATGACTTGATGTCTCGTTGCTGATTAGCCCATTGGTAGCAAACACTTGATCCACCTCGTGAAAGGCGGCGTCTACACTAGTCAGCAGTGCATCAAAGGTGCTCTTGTCCGCCAAAAAATCCAACGTGCGGCCCTGGTCTCCTACCTTACCTAGGTGGCCTGCGCACTCGGAAACCTGCTGCCGTACCCGCTTTTGAAGAAGTGCTTCCAAGCTTCGGGCTTTTATCTGACCCTCGAGAACGAGCTTTAGACGTGCATTCTCGCGTTCGGCTTTCTCTCGCCGCAGCTTCTGCCGCGTAGCCATGTCTTTCCAAAAAGGAGGGATATCAGGGTTGTTGGAAGCAGTGAGCGCTTGCGCGGATTGATTCGTCGCAGAGTGCGTCGCATATGCTGAGCTGGTGTCAATGCGGTGATGACGGATGTGCTCGCCCAGCTCCGTCTCCATTTGCTTGACCTTGTTGCGCAAGTAGGCTAGCTCATTCTTGCGTTCATTACGCGCCCGATTCGGGTTCACCTTGATACGTTTCTTTGGCTTATTTTTCTCTGTGTCGAGCGCTGCTTGACAATGTGATTTTCTACAGCCACCCGCGACTCGAAATCGTCCATTCTCTTTCACGTTAGCGACGTCCGGAGCTCTGAAATTGGCCTTCAGTGGCGCCAGCGGAGTCGGCAGCTCGAACTTCTCCTGATGCGTCTCAAGCTCGCCGCCCGGCGTGGAGCTAGTTGACGATGACGGCGATAGTGTCGCCCGCAACAGCGCATCTAGCTCGTCGCCTAGTATCGCGTCATCCGAGGACGATCCATCTGGCTGCTGTATCGCGCCTCGCTCGCCACTCACCGACGGGATCGAAATATAGGCATCCACGAAGCTCAGCGCGGCGTCAAGCGCCTCAAAACCGTCGTAGTCGTCGTCGGGTAGCACCAGTGCCATGTTGACGGACTTCGAATACAGTACTGTACCCCCTACGGGACCTACCGTAGGTGATATTACATGACTGACCGTAGGTCTTCTCACTGATCCCGTCACGAAAGGGAAGCCCAACCATTCAACTTGCAACAGCTGGTGCAATGTGGGCATAAACGTACCATTTCCATGCAGGTTTTCAGCCAACCGGCGTTGAACGCATCCCCAGCCGCAGCTCAATTCTTCTTCCGATACACATCGCGCAGTGCGCCTGCTTGAGTCTGCTTGCGAGCCTGCTTGAGTCTGCTTGCCTCGCGGCTAGCTCCTCCGCTTTGGCCATGGAGCAGCGGCAGATTGAAGAGGAAGAGGAGCTTATGCAGGAGGCACTTGCCTTGCTGGCTGACTGCCAGGACGACGACTATGACGCCGCCATCTCACGTTTGCTGCTGCCGTCTGACGATGAGCTGCACAGCCCCGTGTCTGCCAATCGCAGCGACCCCATTATGTCGACCACCGAATTGGCTCATGCTCCGATGCCCGTTCCGCTCAACCTCGGCCTACCACCTAGTAACGCTACTTTCAGTGCGGAGGTCTCCCCCTCCGCCACTCCCACTCTTACGACCGCTACCAGTAGCCCCGTAAAGAAGACTCCCATGTCGACCGCCAAGCAGCAGCAGCGCAAGAAGAAGGCGCCTTCGAGTACTGGCAAAAAGCGCAAAACGGCCTCTCACAACTCGAACCGTGCACGTGACGAACGCAAAGAAGAGCTCATCTATCTCCGCAAGACGGTGCAGACGATGGAAGCGAGATTGCGTACACTTCAGCTCTCACAGCGTCGAGCATTGGCTGCGCCTGCGCTTGCATCTGCGAGAATCGCTCCTCGTGGAGAGGCGCAAACGTTTACCGAGGGCGCTTTCGCACTCGCTGCTCTGCAGGGCCATGCTATCGTGAGTGAGCCACCACGGTCCCCTGAAGATATGAAGGAGGACGCGGCTATGGGTCCTGTCTGGACCGAAATTGCAGCGCGCCAGTACCAGGAGCGTCGCCGTGTCGAACTGGAAAATATTAGACTGAAACTCATTCTGGAGGGCCAGATTAAGATGGCCAAAAGCCTCGAAAAGATGCTGACAAAACGCACCAGCTTGCGGGTGAGTTGCAACTCCAACGCTTTAGGGATTGAGAAAGATTTCCCTGCTAACAATGCTGTGGTCGGGTTGGTATGTACGAACTTGTAGGTGATGGAGTCCATTCAGGGCAAATATCTAACTAGTTTGCAGCACCGTAAGCCTACGTCGACAGAGGAAGAGGACGAGGCAGCCATTTTTGCTCGTCTAGAAAAGGAATTGGAGACTGCGCTGGACGAAGTGGACGTCGTTTTTGAGGCTATTGGGCTGGCTCGCATGGAGAAGACGTACGCGGATGCTCAAGTGCGGCGCGAGAATGGAACTACTATTATGGAGATATTCGCCAACAAGGTTGTTCCGTTCAGTGTGGAAGCTACGAGCCACGCAGTTTGGGAGCATTTCGTCCACTCCATGGACCACATCCCGTCGCGCTTTGTTTACCAGAAGCAACTGAAGGTAGCCTTGTTGTTGTCCTTTTAAGGCTGAAATATGTCGCGATGGGGTCTGATTCTTTTTCTTGTATCTGTTGCCACGTAGAAGACGGAAACAACGGACGACACGTTGATGGAGAGCTTTGGTCTAGAGCTTGTTGGTAGCCGCAACGCGACTGCCGCTTTCAGAGTGCGCCAGATCCGCCGGAAATTTGTTCAGCCTCACCGGGTTGTAATCGCGTGGCCCATGTATTCCGAGGCGCTCGAGCTCTCTGCCGAGCCTACAAAAGGTGTACGCCTTCATGAAAAGTGTTTTACTGTGGTCAAGGCGCTTCCGAACGCTAGTGGCCGCCGAGGCGCCCTAATACAAACGTGCTACGTTCTCCGTCCGGAGATTTACGGTCATGTTGCCGACCGAGAGCGTATTCTCACCACTCTAACAGACTTTTTGCTAGACTCTGTTTCACACACGATTAGCTCAAGTCACCAAATGATTGAGAACTATCTGTTGGATGGAGCGCTTCGATTCCAACCTGAACCAATTGCATTGACGCAGGTCGCACGCGAGGATAGCGCCGTGGAAGAAAAAAACCCTGTAGCATTTTAGCTGCTAGACAGGTACTACGTAGTATCCCTTAACTCTTTAGACTGTGGAGTCGTTAGGACACCTAGGTTCTTACCAGCCAGGCTTTCTACAGTTGACGCTCGGTACGAGACTTTGTTCACATTTTGTAATTAACGTTATCGGGAACGGCGAGTTTATCGAGGCTTGACTTGCTAAATGCTACTTTCAGCCGAGTGGGCAAGCCAACACTTCGCTAGTCTTTCTTAAGATCCCCAGTGAGAAGTACGTTCTCAATCATTTGGTGGCTCGCACTGATACTACCTGTCACGGAACTCAGCACAAAGTCGGTGAGTGCGCCGACCTTGCGGGACTGGTCAGGCCCATTGCGGTTGCGAAATTCGGGTCGAATAATGTAGCATGTCTGCATCAACGTACAACCCTGCTGGCCTGTAGCAGGAGGTTTGATCACGATGTAGCCTTTCTCCAAGAAGCGGATACCTGGAGTTGGCTCGGCCGAAAATTCCACCGTATCTGTTATCGTACGCCACACAACAATAATGCGATCCTGTTCCACGTATCGCCGGATGATGTGCTTCACGTGGAAGTCCCCATTCGTATGACCGTCCGTCATCTCAAGGCCGTAGCGTTCCACCACGGTGTCGTCACTAGCTTCAATATGCAGCGGTTGTTTCTCGTAGTATGTACGGTGAGGCATGTGGTCCATCGAGTGTGCGAAATGACGCCACACTGCCTTTCCCGTCGTGGGCATGTCAAATGGCATGACCTTATTCGCGTAGATTTCCATCACCATGCCCCGAGTTGCATCGTGCTCGATCTTCGCGGTGCGGTGTGCTGTTTCCATGCGTCCTAAACCATTGGCTTCGAAAACGGCATCCAGCTCCTGACGGGATCTCTCGATCCCAGAAAGCAGCATATCGAAATCTGCGCGGTCATCACGTGCCGCACCAGGCCCCGGCACGGGTGATACTCGGCGAATTCGTTTGCTCGGCCCACCCAAGACCTGAAGAATGTCCTTAAATCAAGGAATAAGTCAGTAGAGTTCGGATAAACTACAACGTCTCATCACGAGGTATGAGGATACTTTACTCGTTCATTTTGGCGTTTTCTTAGGATGCGCTCAAGGCTCTTTGCCACCTTGATCTGCTTCTCCAAAACCAACTTTAGCCGAACGTTCTCACGCTCTGCCTTTTGCCTCTCCAAGGCCTGGCGCTGCGCCATGTCCCCCCACACCGCGGCTAAGTGCGCTGGAGATGCAGTGCTCGCCATGGGTGCCGCAACCGATGAAAAGGTAGCAGATGGTGTTCCAGTCGACATCTTGGTGGTGCGCATTGCTGCCAATTTATTTTTCATCCTGGCATCCTTTCGCTCCACTGCTGATGGTGGGGCAGCGACAGATGAAAACTGCGCCGATACGGTTTGAGGCTTGCGTGTACTGCGCAGTTGGTCCAACTGCAGCTGCAGTCCCTTCACTTTTTGACGCAGATACACCAACTCTTCTCGGCGTGCGTCTCGAGCGCGATTCGAGTATTTACGTGGTTGCTTGATTTTGTTGCCCTTGAAATCCTGTGTCTGCAGCGTTGGACTGCTTGTTAACGAAGTGGGGCTTCCCGTAAAGATACTTGTACTTCTATCACGCCTTTGGAGTGCCACGACAGTTTCCGAAACTGGCGGTCTGCGGGGAGTCATCTGCTGATAGGGGGTGGCTTCAAACGCGTGAATCGGTTGCTCCATTAGCGTTGGTAGTTCCAGGTCCACGTCCAGTTCACCGCTATAATCACCGAGTCCCAGGTCAGCTAGGTCCATCGCAGCGGCAGATCCGAGTAGCCAATCGGTCGACGCCTCGCAGTCGGCGAGGAAAGAGAGCGCTTCCTCCAGCGCCTTTGAGTCATCGCCCTCCATCGCCGATCTCTTTAATATGAATTGCCAACTGATCTAGGATACTTCGAAGTAACAGTTTTGCGTTTCAAAATAAAACCGTAAAAAATACCGATAAAGCTTGTACTGTACATGCACCTGAGCTTTGTAAGAGAAAGATACGGAGCATCATTAATTCATTACATGACAGTTATTTTATGGAGGAATCTCCAGAAAACAGTACAAAGCACTGTTTTCTTGCGAATCCAAACAGTGAGCTCATAGTACTGGAAACAGTATGTATTAAGTTCGCGTACGAACTTAATTATCTTCCTACGTTCTTACAACAGTTCTGGAGCTTCGTCGGGTAGCAGGGGGCGCTCGACGGCGTCATCCGCAGGTAGCTTGGTATAGCCACACGAAGTTGATTGTTTCTCGCTCAAAATCCATTTTTAGTTGCCAAGGTAAGTTTCTAGCTGGTTCCCACGCTAGCTCTCTATGGTTTACCCACTGCACAAAATAGAATTCAAGAGTGTGGACCCATCGTTTTGCATAAAGGCGCTCAACCTCAAATGTCTCCCCATTTCGCCCTCTTTGTGCTTGCCTTCCTCGAAATAAACCGTTGCCTCTGCGGTCGAAACGCCGGGTTTTCTTCAGGGTGAGGCCGATTAGCTAGATTTTGGCTGACTCTCAATTTGTAAAAGGAGCCGTCGAGATTGCGTTGGAAGTTGCGTGTGTGTTTTCCTCTCTTGTTCAAAGGCGCCATAACAGAAATTGTAGAATGGCATGCAGCTAGTGCTATCATAGTTGAGGACGTGTAATGCATAAGAAGCGATGTGGTTTGCAAAAAAAATGTATTGTAGACGTCTCCAAATCACAAAACAAATTCATAAAACACAAATACACTTAAAGAATTCAATATTTTAATGTCCAAGTCTGGGACGCAATCGCAATCGAGATCTTATAACTCGCAAACAAGAAACACTGTTTCATACAATTTTTAGTATAGACACCAAGGCAACAACTGAAAATGTTATCGGATCACAATTTCGAAATTTCAATACTGGACGATCTGAAGTGCTTCCAAAACATGTTTGAAACATGACTTGTGAAGCAAAGTTTAAATATAATATTTAGCTAATATTTTTGGTTTGCAAGTACAAAATGTAAGAAATACAAAGACGGTCGTACACCAAGCCGTAGTTTTCTGCTACAGAATTCTCCGAGTCCAATACAACGTCATCCCGTAGCAGGCCCAAGTCACGCGCTGCCTGAACATCCAATGCATCAACCACGAAGCGTGCTTGACCGTACTTGGACAACGGTGGAGGCTCGTAGCTTGTGGCCGGAGAAGTCATTTCTAATGTGAAGAACGAAGTAAAAGACAAAATAGCTTCGTATGATCTATAAAAAACCGAAGGAGCTGAAGATAAGTAAGTCGGACCAGTCTGATCCCTCATCCTCGTCGTCCTCCGAGCTGCCAAGTCCACATCCAGTGGGAATGACACGTATGGCTTTCCCTTTCCCGGATCCAGTGCTGGCCGGCGACATGCCGGTGGAAGCTGGCTGGGGGACGGCAGGCGTCGTCACCGAAGGGCCAGCAGTGGATCCCGACTGGGTGAACTGGACTTAGCTGTGGATGTGGCTAACCCCGTCGTAGGAGCAGCAAT